TTCATTGATGATATATCCAGATCTAAGGCTCAAGTTATATTTGCTTGTGAGACTTGGTGGTCAGCAATGTCTACTACTAATATTCCTGGTTATAATCTGTTTAGAAAAGATCGTCAATTTAGTCGTGGTGGTGGTGTATGTATTTATATACAAGAGAATATTAAATCTTATGAAATAAATGAAAAATATCTAATAAACGAAAATATTGAACAAGTATGGTGTTTGATTGAAATTGGCAAAGAGCAAATCTTATGTGGTTGTATGTACCGAACAGGTCTTAGTAATAGTGAAAAGTGTATTGACATTATAAAATCATTAAAACAAACATATGTACTCAAACAAAATAACAAATGCTCTGGTATTTTAATATGTGGTGACTTTAACTATGCAAACATCAAGTGGAACAATGAAAGTTTTAGTGAAATTATAAATGACAGTGACACAACAGCAAGTATGTTTATTGAGTCGTTACATGACTGTTACCTGCATCAAAATGTTATCAGTCCTAGTTTTCAAGTAAAGTTTGGTATTGATACTAACATTTTAGACCTCATTTTGACTGATAATAGCAACAGAGTTTATTTTCTTAAACATTTTCCACCGTTAGGTGGTATCGATCATGGTCATCATATTTTGAAATTTCGATTTGGTTATGAAAATAAACCTAATTTATTAATATCACTACAAACGAGGAAGAAAAATTTTTGTGGAAAAATGGAAACTATAAAGCGTTAGATTTGTATTTTAATAACATAAACTGGATAAATGAACTTGAAGGACTAAGTGTTAATGAATGTTACGAAAAATGGCTAAGAAAATATGAAATAGGATGTGAAAAATATATCCCAACGCTAAATTTAGATAAAAACTCTTTTCAACTAAAAAATAACTCACTATGGATGACAAGTGAACTTAAAAGCATGTGTAAAGAAAAGAAAAAATGTTGGTTTAGAAACAGAAATTCAGGTTTTAAAAGTCTTTTAGAAGTCAATAAGTATAAAAAATTAAATAAAGATATAAAAAAACTTGTCAAGAAAAGTATTCGCAATTTTGAAAAAAACTTGGCACTTAATTCAAAAAGCAATCCTAAAAGTGTCTATGCTTATATAAACAACAAAACAAGATTTAAAGACTCGATCAAAGCCATAAAGCTACATAATGGTATTATAACTACTGATAATCAAGAGATAGTAAACACTCTTAATGAATTCTTTGCTTCTGTGTTTATACAAGATGACTCACCAGAAGAAGTTTTAGACGACAATCTTTTAACAAAATGTTCTGATCCAGATTTTAGTATTTCTATCATTCAGAAACATTTGAGTAATTTAAACATGTACAAATCAGTAGGTCCAGATAATGTTCACCCAAAAGTTTTAAAGGAATGTTCAGAATCTTTGTCAAGTTCTTTAGCAATAATATTTGTTAAATCGTTTATTACAGGATCTATTCCAAAGTTATGGTCATATGCAAACGTTATTCCGTTATTCAAAAAAGGAAATAAACTAGATCCAACAAATTATAGACCGGTTTCATAACATCAATTGTTGGTAAAAATATGGAGAGAATTATTAAAGATCATATGATGGTGTTCCTCATTGAAAACAATTTAATTTCTAAAGAGCAACATGGTTTTGTTAATAACAAAAGTTGTATAACAAACCTGTTAGAAACATTAGATTTAATCACGCAAGCGTATGAAGAGGATATTTCCGTTGATGTTTTATCTTTGGATTTAAAAAAAGCATTTGATTCAGTCTCTCACACGAAATTACTGAAAAAATTATTCAGACTAGGATTTGTATCATCTTTGTTAAATTGGTGTAAATCATTTTTGTCAGACTGAACACAGAGGGTTGTGATAGGGGAATATATTTCAAGTTGGAAGATGGTTACTAGTGGAGTACCACAAGGTTCAGTACTCAGACCTCTTTTGTTTGTAATCTTCATTAATGACTTATGTAGAGGGATTATTAAAGACACTAAATTATATGCAGACGATACCAAAGTTATTTCAATCAATCATTGTTATGATGATAATAAAATATTACAAGAGGATATTAACAGGTTAGTTAAATGGTCTGAAGATTGGTTAATTACATTTAATGAATCAAAATGTAAAGTCATGTATATTGGCAAAAAGAATCCAAGATATGAATATAAATTGAACAACTCTGTTTTAACAGAAACAATGATCTAAAATGATCTTGGGATTTTCATTTCAAATAATCTAGAGTGGAAATATCATATTAATTCAGCTATAGGTAAAGCAAACAGAAAATTAGGCATGATCAAAAACTCTTTTGAGTATTTGGATGAACTTTCATTAAAGTTACTATACAAATCGTTAGTACGTCCCCATTTGGAATATGGAGCAACAGTTTGGAGTCCATTTTGGAAAAAGGACATTGACAATCTTGAAATCGTGCAACACAGTGCTACAAGAATTGAATCTTTAAGGGGGAAGTCGTATGAAGAAAGATTAAAGATACTTGAATTGCCAACTTTGTTTGATAGAAGAAGAAGAGGTGATCTAATTCAAATGTATAAGATCTCAAAAGGGAAAGATATTGTTAATTTTCACCACCCTCCTTTAAATTTTGAGCTGGAGCGATCTAGTAGAAGTAACAATTGTAGAATACGCAGACAATTTACAAAATCAAGAATTCGTCACCATTTCTTTACAAACAGAGTTATAAATGATTGGAATTCTCTTCCACAATGGATATTAGATAAAGATAATTTGAACATTTTTAAAAACAGTATCGATAATTATTTCGGTTTCTGAACACTAATTTTTGTAATCGGCTGTCATAGTCTTAATTCTACGTAATTAAGACTCTACACACCTCAAGTGTGTACAGCACCTTTTCTATTCTATTCTATTCTATAAAACCAGCAATTTTTTTACTTAAACGTTTTTTAACCTTATTTTAAACATGAATTCTTTTTCGATTTTTATTGGAAAACAATTGAAATAGAGAAATTGAATAAAAACATCAACTTAAAAACCATTTAAATGAAAAACTTAATTATATTTAAACTTTTATTAGTCCTTTATTCAAGAAACAATAAATTAAAAAAACGTCGTTTTTAAAAATCTAATTTTTTATTAAGTTTTTGGCGATGTTTTTTGATTTATTGACAATAATTTTTCATTTTATTAATTAAAAAAATTTTATTTATTTGCTTCGTTTTATTTTAAACGCATTTCATGATATTAAACTGTATAAACTGTTTTACATTAACACAATCTATTTATATTTTAAAGACAACATTTTGTTTTATTGTTGTTTTATAGCTTTTTACAATAACAATTAAATACTCATTAAAAACGCGTGTTTTATCATCAGCGTGATCGTATTAAACAGTTTTCTATGACTAATTTAAGTAGTTTAAATATTGCAGTGATGGATCAAGGAATTTTTGGTGGAGGATGTTGAAATATTTTTGGATTTTGTACCATGTTTGCGTCTCCTAAAAAAAAAGCAAAAAACAAGGTCCTCAATTTCTATGACATTTTCAAGACTTCCAGATTCTGGATCCTCCTCCTGGATCCGTCACTGAAATATAGTAATGTTTGCTCTTTACTCTTAATTTTTTACTTTCACTTTTTTAAGTATCATGTTAAGCAAAAACAATTACTTAATTAATAGTATTAAATATGTTACTTGCTCTTTACACTGTAACTGCAACTTAAACTTTAATTAATAAATAAAGCTGTAAATTATAACAGTAATTTACGCTATTTTAAACTTCGCCAACCAAGAAAATCATAAAATAACATTTAAATGAGAGTATGTTAAAAGATAACAATTACGTGCTAAAGAGACAGTTTTATACTAACGCAAGCCTCTCCCCCCATTAATGCACATCAGCGTGAGCTATAAAAATGAGAGGAGGGGGGGGGGGGGGAAGCATAAAATTTTTTTTTTCGCTATTAGATTTTTTTGCATAAATTCGAGCCTTGTCTTAATTTAATTTCTAATAAAATATCTATTTAACCTTATCAATTTGAACCAAAAAAATATAGCAAAATTAACATAAATGATAATTTAACTAAAACATTTTACAATAATTATTTTTTTTATCAAGCAAAAATGAGAATAACTGTCACTTTCGAAACCATAAAAACGACTGAAATAAAATTATTTTTGTACTCAGGAAACGTTTTAAATAAACTTTCATGTGTCTACATCAATATTCATTTGCTAAAAACTGACTAAAAAGAATTTAAATTTTGACTTTTATTTATTTTTGGCCGTGGAATTGCCCTTATAACACAAATATATAAATAAAAATTATAAAAAAAATTTTAATATACAAATATTTTTTCACTAAAGGCTACAAAACTTTTTCTTGTAAGTAGTTATGTGTCAGTTAAAAAAAAACGACTTAACTTTTAAATTTAATTACCAACTAATACGCTTGCAATAATGACATTTTATCTACTTTGTTTAATTTAATGTACAAACGTTAGTTTTTTGAGGCAATAGAGTCAATAAACTTTGGACAAGACGCATTTTTTTTAATCAAAGAAAAGTGTTTTTTTGAAAATTAAATTTGTTAGTGTGCGTTCATTATTACTTTTTAGAAAAAATAATATACATCAAACATTTTTTTTTTAATGCTCTTTCATATGAGATCATATCTTTATAGCACTTAGGGATCCCTTTAAAAAATCTAAGACAAAAAAGTTTTTTGATCTTAAATATAAAAAAAACTTTGCAACCTGCATCTGCTAAATTCTAGTAAAATGTTTGGGTAAAACATCTTCCCAAAAAGCATTAAAACTCTACTTGAAAAACCTTGTTGTAAATATTCTATATGCCAATGTGATAAATTCATTAAAAATTAACCTCTAAAACAGATAAGCTTTTTTTTTAAAGCAAAGTCTGGCTAGATGTTACTAAACGTTACAGGTAAAATAATACCTAAGTATAAAAGTAATAAACTTTATAATCATTAATCAAAGAATGCAACAGTTTCTTTATAAATACCTGCATTTCCATTAATTAGTGCAAAATCTTTTATAAAACCATCTTGAGTTTGATAGGATTGATCTGAAGCATAAACATGAACATTTTCATATAACTTTGGCTGAACATTTTCTACTATAAAAACTGTTTCTCCATTCAATTTTATTGTATACACATACACAAAATGTTCTAACTGTTGACTTATTTCAATCTGTGACCACATGTTAGAAGGAATAGGAGCTGTTTTAAAAGTACTGTTAAGATTTCCATTTCCAGGAACAGTAATAGAAAGACTGCCATTACCACTGTAATGAAACCACACACCTGGAACACTATCATTAAATGCATTCGCATCAGAACCAATTTTGAAACGAATAACATTGTGCCAACCTTCAGAATACGAGTTTGCTTTCACATCAAAATAAATTTTATAAGTTTTATCCAATATTGGAATAACTGCCAGCAGTTTGTTATGAACCAAAGGTGTTTCTCTATCTTCTATTAATTGCTCTAAAAATTATTAATGATTGTTTTTATTCCTTAGATACTAAAAAAAAAAAAATTAAAACAACTATGTGCTAAAATTGTGCATTGTTTATAATGTGTAAATTATATTTAATGATGAAAAAGATATATATAAAAAAAAAAATTAGCTAAAATACATCTCACTAACTAGTCTATATTTTGAAATGTATATAAAAATGGTTTTTTTACTTTAATAGAAAAAAAATTATCAAAGATTTTAAATGTTATTCAAATACCATTAAATATTAATTTATTAAAATGTTTACCGAATGCCATCAACTATTTTATTGAATTTGGAACATCAACAAACTATCTTTTTTGTATTTTTTGTTTCGTGTTATTATATTAGCATGAGATCTCTTTCAAAAGTATATACTACCTTCAAACACATATAAAACATGATGTGAAACTATCCTGTTAAAGCATTTCTAGCAAAATTTCTTTATTACCTTTACGTCCTTTACACAACACATCAATCTGATCATTCTCTTTCCTATTCTATTAGAACTTAAAAAAAAAAGTTTAGGCTTCATTTTTATAATTTTCAAATTAACAAATTTGTAACATGGTGTGTTCCAGAAAAAGAATCTGATATTCTAATTTAATATGCAATACATTTTAGGATTATGTATAATAAATTTGCTTTTTGATTGGAGCTAAATAATTAGATTTTAAGAATATGGTATTTAAGTGTTTTGTCACTGGATGCAGAGATAACTACAGTTTTTGAATTTTGTACTTTAGATAAACAGATAGTTGAACCCCAAGGTCTTTTTCCAATGTTGTTGTCTCTAGCTGGATTCTTTTGACTCTGCTATTGGAGTCATTTTTATTGATGAAGTAGATGTGAGGGACAGACTTGGATTGGTTGATGTGCATAATTTTACATTTTTTGATGTTAAGTTGCATGAGCCATAATTGGGTCCATAATATTAGCAATGTCAGCTTGCAGACCAAGTTTGCTTTCTAAAGTGTAAACTACACTGACGACATTTTTGTCATCTGCGTACATTTTGCATTTATTTTTGCTGCTAATGTGTTCTGGTAAGTCATTAATATAGACTATAAATAGTGTTGGACCAAGAAATGAGCCCTGAGGAATGCCACTAGTAATTTGTTTCCAACCCAACATTACCAAGGAGGACACGTTGTGTTCTGTTAGAAAGAAAGGCATTAATCCAGTTTAAAACATATCCACTAATTCCATAAGATTCAAGCTTTTTTAGTAACCTTTTGTGAGAAACTTTGTCAAATGCTTTGGCAAAATTAAGAAATAAGGCATCAACAGGTAGCTTTTGTGATGTGGTGTGGGTCAAAAAGTCCATAGTTTCGAGTAAATTTTTAGTGCATGATTTTTTTTCTAACAAATCCGTGTTGACATTGGGAGAGAAGATCGTTGATAATAAGTGATGCATGACCTTATCTTTAACCAGTCTTTCCATTACCTTACATGGTACAGAAGTGATGGAAATTGGTCTGTAGTTTGTAGGGTCAGTCTTAGAACTGTTTTAGAACAAGCCAAGACTTTGCTACAATTGCTTGTTCCATTAACAATTAAAAAATCATGGAAAGCGAAGCTGCTATTGTGCTGGCACATGCTTTAAGAACGTAAGGACTTATTTGATCTTCTCCAGCAGATTTATATCTGTCAACTGCCTCAAGGTGTTTTTGAACAGATTCAGAATCAAATGAAAAATTTAAGAGAGAGGTAAACAAGCGTTTTGCAAACAGAGGTAGATTTTGATTATGAGGCTCAATAGTAAAACAGATTGGAATACCTTGTTATGTATTGGCAATCAAAAATCAATCAGTACAGAGTTCACCGGATGGAGAACGCAATGTGTTGATATGATTATTGACAGAATGTTTGCTATTAATGTAGGCAAAGAGCCTTTTTGGATTGTTCTTATCTTTAGATAGGTTTTCTTCAAATGAACGAATTGCAGCTCTCGTCTCTTTTCTTACAAGATTTTGAGTGAACTTGTAATCATTAGCCAACGAGATAATTTTCCACTTGCTGTTACATATATATATATATATATATATATATTATATATATATATATATATATATATATATATATATATATATATATATATATATACCATACTAGATAAATACTTTGGGGAACATGTTATTTTTGTTCCTGTTCTGTTGTATTTTTTTACTTTTTTCTTCTATTTTTATCATATTTATATATACTTTTTTAATTTTTATTTTATTTCTATTTTTATTTATACATATTTAAATTTATCATTTTATTATAAAAAATATTTATTTTATATTAATTTTTGTTATTTTTATTTATTTATTATATATATTATTTCATTTTTAACTTTAACTACTTACAAAAATAAATAATTACAATAGTATAACTAAATTTAAACCTTGCCGTAACCCTAACCCTAAGCCTAACCTAACCAAACCCTCAGTCGATGTAGCAGGACTCCCTTGCAAGTCAGGCTAGTTGTTAGTCTATGTATATATATATATTTATATATATTTAAATATATATATATATATATATATATATATATATATATATATATATATATACACATAAATATATATATATATATATATATATATATATATATATATATATATATATATATATATATATATATATATGTATGAATATATGTATATATATATATATATATATATGTATATATATATATATATATATATATATATATATATATATATATATATATATGTATATATACAACCCTTGAAATTAGGGTCGGCATAAACCTAAACGTGTTTGTGGTCGGCAATATATAGTGTTAGTTGGGCTCCTTCATCCGTTAGGAGTGAACCTCTGTTCAGCACAACAGGACACATATTTTAAGCCAAAAGAAACAGGCTGTTGCCTGAGCATGGAGAGCAGAATACGTTTTAAACTATAGTTTGCCTGATTTCTAATGGATAATTAATTTAAACGTAATAAACTAATAAGTATAATAAAAACAACTTCCCTCGTTTATTATTGTAATTTCTAAATGGTAATTTTGTTATAATCCAAAGTACAAACTAATGTAAACTAAACATTGTTTATAATATAACTTAATAGTTTTATAATTCACACCCTAACTCAACTTCTAATTTATAATTAGTAATAACTAGTTAGCTAGTCATCTTTATATTCAAGTAACATTAAATTTGTACAAGCAAGGCATTGCTACATCTTAAAATCCTATGACATTGCATAACTAAATAAAAACCTTGATGATTTGTTATAGTAAAATATTATAAATTGTTTTTCAGCGAACTGTTTATCACTAGATAGCTGGATCTGAAAGATAGCAAATTTATCTATGTAAGTGCAAATGCTTAGGCTTCGGCAAAATCTTAGCTTCGGCACATCCCTAATATATATATATATATATATATATATATATATATATATATATATATATATATATATATATATATATATATATATATATATATATATATATATATATATATATATATATATATATATATATATATATGTATATATATATATATATATATATATATATATATATATATATATATATATATATATATATATATATATATATATATATATATATATATATATATATATATATATATATATATATATATATATATATATATGTATATATATATATATATATATATATATATATATATATATATATATATGTATATATATATATATATATATATATATATATGTATATATATATATATATATATATATATATGTATATATATATATATATATATATATATATATATATATATATATATATATATATATATATATATATATATATATATATATATATATATACGAGGCTGGCGTAACTCAAAGGCAACAAATTATGGTTGTAAAATCTGTTTAAAGTCAACTGTTTTGTTAAGTTTTCTAGTCGAACTAACATTTATTGGAGGATTAAGATTAATGAAAACAGAAAAAAAAAAAAAAATTCTTTTTTTTTATTATACTAAAGAGTATTCTATAAGAAATGTATATAAATAAGATAATAAAATATCATAAACAAAAACTTGTTTAAAATGAGTATTTAATATTTAAAATTTTTTTAAATATTAAATACTCATTTTAAATTGTGAAATTGTCTTTTATGTCTATGGCTAATTGATAGGTGTTTTTAATTTTTAATTTTATAAAATATCCATTATAATTTTCATTATTATAATAAATAAATAATATACAACCATATTATTGTGAATGCTTCAAAAAAAGATTTAATATATATACTATTTGGTAAAATTTACAACCAACTATACTTGTAAATCCTTAATTAAGTTGAAAGTAAGTTATTGGAAATTTTTTCGCAACGTTAAATTAATATAAATTCTTATTTTTGATAGTTTTAATGGAAGCTACTCGATAAAAATTTGCATATATTTTTAAAAAAAGTACGATATTAGTTCCTTGATTTTTTTTAAAAAAAAAATTCCTTAAGAGCAACTTTCTGTAAGATCAAGGCAGAGTTTAAAGAGAGTAGCGACTCTCTTTAATAATATTTTAGTATATTAATGCTATTCATATCAATAAAATTTCATAAAATTTATTTAAAAAATCATTATTGGTTCTCCAGATATAGGGCTTTAAAGTTTTATACTTATGAGAAATTAAGGGGTTAGTCTCAAAATAATTAAACTCAAAAATGGAGTTCTGGTCAATCAGCGCAATTTTCGTAACCTCACAATGGATAAATTTCAGGGTTTACAGAAAAATATTTTTAGAAAAAAAAATGGGTATCAATGTTTAGTTTACCAGACTCATAAAAACCAACTATGGTGTAATCTGTCATAGTTTAGCAAAACAAAGTATGTTACAAAACCATACAATGCTAGGAAACGTTATAATACAAGTATATAGATATAGTATAGGGTATTTTTTTTTAATGTAGTAACACGCTTCTTGTGATGAATTAAATCATAACTTCCCTCATGGAAGAACTGTAACATATCCTTTTTCC